AAGAAGGAGAAACTGGAAGATTTCTTTAAAAATGTGGTGAAGTCGGCAGATGGTGTCTTGGTGGCTGGAGTCAAGGTGAAGACCCAGGAACTAGTTTCCACCTCAATCAAATGTGGTTTCCATGTTTTCTCTTTATTGATAGTTGCTGTTTTTGCACCTGTAGGATGTGGATGATTTCTTTGAGCACGAGAAGACGTTTCTGTTGGAATATCACAACAGAGTCAAGGATGCTTCAGCCAAGTCTGACAGAATGATCCGATCACACAAAAGTAAGAATCTTTTAAATGCCTTTTACTTTTGTAAGTGATGTTTGCGTCTGTGGCATGAGCTGAAAGCTCAGGTTCAGGGCTTGTGTTAGAGTCTCGAGTAATTCATTGAACAGAGACTTGGAGTTTTATATGAAGGAAAACTGTGTGACGCTGATGTCCGCGTATTTGTTTTCTGTTTAGATGCTGCTGATGACATCAACAGAATTGCCTCATCTCTCTACACATTAGGAACACAGGACTCCACAGACCTCTGCAAGTATGAACAAATGTTGTCTTTGAACTTGACCTGGAGCTGCCTTCATGTGATGATTTTTGCTAACACTTGTATTTGGTCCTGAACAGAGCCAGGTTGTAAACATACCTGCATCACATCTGTCTTGTTCTTTTGTTGCCTTTTTCTTCCTTAAGGTTCTTCCTCAAAGTGTCAGAGTTGTTCGAGAAAACTCGGGTATGTCTGATCACATTTGGAGTTTGCCTTGTTATCTTATTACCCCAGTAACTCTAATGTTGGGACCATGTTTGGGGGGTTTTTTAAACAGAAAATTGAAGCTCGCATTGCAGCAGATGAAGACCTGAAGCTGGCCGACCTGCTGAAATATTATTTGAGGGAGTCACAGGCTGCAAAGGTCTGATTGACAGTTGAAGTCACCAGTTAAAAAACTGGCTTTGTTAAATATCGCAGTTAATGTGATGATGTCTCCCCTCGCAGGATCTCTTGTACCGGAGGAGTCGGGCTTTGGTCGACTATGAGAACGCTAACAAGGCTCTAGATAAGGCTCGGGCCAAAAACAGAGATGTTCTGCAGGCTGAGACCAGTCAGCAGCTTTGCTGCCACAAGTTTGAGAAAATCTCAGAGTCTGCCAAGCAAGGTCATTTTTTGTTCCTCCTATGTCAGCGTACAGGTGAAGGAGTGTTGGATGTGTGTGCGGTCTGCTTTCACAGTGCATTCTTCTCCAAACAGAGCTCATAGACTTTAAGACGAGGCGAGTGGCAGCCTTCAGGAAGAACCTGGTGGAGCTGGCCGAGCTTGAGCTCAAACACGCCAAGGTACTGAGTATACAGAGAAACCAGCCGTTAAAAGAGCATTTCAGCTGAGTGTCTGATCTCATTATGTGAGGTGGCTGTAGTGTAGGAGAGGAGCAGGCTGCCTTCTTGATTGAAAGGTTGGCTGGCCTCTCCAGTCTGCATCCTTGTAGTATTAAGCACTTCACAAGAACCAGTCCATTTACCTATTACCGTGTCTCACCTGCAGGGGAACCTCCAGCTGCTGCAGGGCTGTCTGGGCATCCTGAAAGGAAACACTTAACTGTTTGATACTGCATACATCCAGCTGGATGCCCCCTGGCTTCTGTCCCGCCCATTTCCAGCTGGACAATCCCGTCACATGGGTGAAACCTGCAAGGACAGAAAACCGACGCCAAGATAACTGGACCTGGAGACAAATAGAAAGAGTCTGAAATAAAAAAGACAGGAAGTCTGTTGTCATCATCACTAACAAGACAGTCTTTTTTCTTGTTTTTGTTTAATGCCCCGAGTCCTGTTCATCATCTTCCTCTTTCTCAAGCAGCATAAGTATTGGTCCTACTGTTCTTTTGCCTGGTTTGCAGCGCCTGTACTGGCCCTACTGAGCCACCATAACCAGCAGAGTAAGACTGCTCCCTCAGAGGTCCTAATAAATTAGCTGTTTCTGTGGTTTCAGTCTGATTCTGCTATAACTGGATATGATTGGACATTCTGTGCTTTTTGTAAATTTGTGAAGTTAAATAAACCAGATTCAGTCTAAAATTGTCACCTTTTCAAAACGTAAATAAAGATTTTAGGTCAAAAGAGAAACAAGTGAATGTGACTCCTAGGAGGGCATACTGACCCGGTCTGCTGCATCTGTACTCACGGGTCCAAGTTTGTCTCTGCTGGTGACCAGCCTCCATCTCAAGGCCGCTTCTGTCTTTTTTGAGTCTTATTTAGTGCACAGCAGCATAACTTTAGCTCAACAAGCTTACTGCTTTAACCAGAGAAGGAAAAATCAGACAGTTGTATTACTGTTGGCTTGTATTGTGATGCATTGCACTCCTATTAGTGGGGGTTTTAATTTTTTTTGTGCTCTAAAAAACCCTCAGTCGACCACAGTGTCTGGTTAGTAGCTGTTCATTGAACTTCTATCAGTGTTTTAACGAACCTGGAAACAAGATTCATGTTTTGACTTTGAAAGTTTAAAGACTCAAAAACAGACAAAAGTAGTCAGTAAAAGACAAGTGTGTGTGCGCTGTGTTATTTTTGTGCCACACATGGCCTCACCTGTTGATTTGCCGTTTGCATTTTCTGCCTCTTCGGTTCTGTTTATTTTGGTGGCGCTTGTGTGTCCAGGGGGATCTTAATGTGTATCGACTTCCTGTGGCGCTGCTACTGCTGTGTGACGGCGTTTTGAGTCCAGTTCTCTGTTCCTGTTAAAGTGTAAATTCACTATAGAAAAACAAACACAAACTTGTACATGTTTGTATTAGTTGACTAATGAACGCTAACGATCTTCATCACTCATTGTAGATTCTTTGTTCACTTATCAGACGTTTGTCACTCTAATCGAAAGCGGAGCTTCTGTTTGCCTTAACGCTGATCGGTGGCTCCTCATGGGTCATTGAAAAGAAAAAGTTAAGTCACCAAATGAAAACAGTTTCTGTTCTTATCCCTATTTTTTAATGAACTGTATACGAATGTTTTTCAATCTTGTGTGACCAAAGCTGCTTCTGCTGATTCAAGAAGGAAACAAAAATAATAAAAGATGATTATGAAATTCACAACATTTTAGTTGTTTAAACTTCAGCAGGTCTGTAATCCACCCTGATCGTACTGAGACTCAATAAAACTTTACAGTTTTCTTACAAATAATCTCTGAACAACTTGTTTTTATTGGTTAGACATAATATTTGTATCCATCATAATATAAACGAAATAAATAGGGCGTGTCCCATTTTGACCTCGGGACTTCTATGCTCACGTTTATGGCGTTCCATGTATGCCCGTCTTGCACCCTCCTGCTGGATTGTCTGAGAGGTACCTTTGCACACCCTGCACCTGTCGTCTTACCTGGTGTGGCAGACCCCAGCCGGTATGGATCCTGTGCTGCCATGATCAGTGTCTCTGGCCTGTCTTTCAGTCCAGCTTTGTCCAGTCACTGGTAGGATTTCTGGAAGTCAGACACGTCTTAATGGGAAGAACAAGATCTGAGCAATCATCTGCACCCTGCCGATCGTCAGGTACCCTGCTGGGAGAATAAGCTGGCCAAAGGAGGCGATAGAAGTCACTCACATCAAGACAAGAAGGCTCCTTACCATGCTGGGAGAGTTTCAACCCAAATCCAGCACCCTTACGCTAAGTGGACGGAAGGTGGCCAGAATCCATGAAGCAGACCAATGAATACATCAGATTACTGTATTGACCTATTACTGAACATCTCAGGCAGCAGAAACCCAGGAAAGAGGGGAGCAAGAAGAGGAAGCAATACGGAAGGACAGGTCCCTGCACGACATGTACAGGCGCACCAGTGCATCCTCCTGTACATGTCGTCAGATAGATGAAGTGGTCGATATCAAGAAATCCTACTGGAGAAACCTGGACTGAAAGGCAGAACAGAGGCACTAATCATGGCAGATGCTGAATTTTTCAGATATGTTGAAACGAAAATAAATGTCTAGTCTGAATATTGGCCAAGCTAGTGCCAGCATAAGATTTAAAGCCTGTTACAAAAATCAAACTGAAATTTTATAAAAACAAATTCAATTCTTGGAGCTTCAACTTAATGAAAATAATGATCCAGTCAAATAAAACAATTTACTGCCTTTGAGAGCAGGCACCTAAAAACCCTGGCTCAAACAATCAAAATCCACCAGGGTCTATCTTGCCTGGTGAGGGACCAGACAAAAAGTAATTCAAAAGAGCCCTATGAGTAGAGCAAAAAGGGAACAGTTCACCCTGCCCAGGATAGGGTTACCGCCCCATACTCCCGAAGCACCTCCCACAGGTGCATTCGACCGAGGGACACGGTCGAATGCCTTCTCCAAGTCCACAAACCACATGTAGACTGCACCAGCTTGTCATAGAAATCAGTGTTACATGAACTCAGCTGTTATTGCTTCAGCCCAATACAAGCCGAAAAATACAGACTTGGAATTTAGTCCAACTGCTGAACTTGCATTTGATAATTTTTCACTGAAACTCTTAATATGAGGTCCAAAGTCAAAGAGATTTGGTTGACAAAAACCAAAAGAAACTTATCAGAGCGATAGAAAGAACTTTAGGAATGGGCAAATTCCCAAACAATTCTTAAAAAGGATTTAAAAAAAAAAAGACCAGAGAAGACTAGAATGAATGGATGGATGATTGTAGAGTTGTTTCTTTGAATAAGAAAATCCCCTTCACAGCATCTTATCTTATCTTATGGTTTACAAAGATTAGATGGTAAATAAAAATCTTCATCTGAGTTTGTTGTAATATAAGATAATCTTTTGCTAAAAAAAAATATTTAAAACCACGTACAATTTACTTAAATGTATTTAAAATCCTCCAGAAATGCTTACTTATTTATTTTCACTATTTCATCTTGAGTCTATGAATCACTACAGCGCCATGCCATATCTAGCTATCATCTGTCAGACATTTATTTTTTAAATACACCTAACCGTGGTGCTTTAAAAACTATATTTAATGTAACTTAAGCTTTTATTGTAAAAGGCTGTCACCGGAAGTTTGTGTGAAACGCGTGAGGAGGCACCGGAAGAGTGGTTTGAGAGCGCTTTATGGGACCTATGCATAGAATTTACAGTCGGTATTAAAATGAGCTCTATCGGGACTGGGGTGAGTGTTTCAGGGCTTTTTGAGAAGAAGCTTTAACTTACGTACACTCGTACGTTTATGAGTCTGTCTTTAGTCCTGTTTTCCGGAAAATATTCTGCTTTTATAGTTCAAATTATGTTCATTCAGTTCAGTCTGCAGCTAGCTAGAGTGTTAGCCTGCTGAGTCACAATGAGGCCTGCTAACAGAAGCTAAACTGAAATCGAAAGTAGTTTAATTTAGTCCCGATTCAGGATTTTTTTGTCAATTTAACAATTTATAAGGATTAAAAAAGCTTTCTACTGTGGCGTTAATTATCCGTTTTATCACTGTAATTACAGGAATTCACGATATTTGTGTGTTTAGATGTTAGCCTCCATCAAACTGGATTCAGAATGACTCAGAATTGCGTGCCAGCTAAATTCTCTCTATGAGAAGAGTAACTTTTTATCACTGGGCTTCATTTTATTTAACAAAGGTTTTCTAAAAAAACAAAAAACTTTATTTTTTTAAAACATAAACATTTACCTTGCTACTGTCAGATAACAGGGTACCAATGAGGTGTTTGGTGCACCTGAGGTGAAAGTGAATATAAGTAGTCCAGTTCACACAAAGAATGAAATATACTTTAGTTTCCTGAATTCTACCAACACACCAAGCTAAGTCTGGGGTTATTCCTCAGAGGGTTCAGGTATACAGTCCCTGAATATATTTTGCACATGTTTTGGCAGTTGGGCAAATGATTTTAGACTACAAGTCAGTCATCCCTCTTTTTTAATTAATTAAAACTTTAAGGCCACATGAAAGTGTGAGTTTGATTATATACCTGTCCTTTCCAGCTACTAATATCAGTAGTTAGTTTAATATTGGAAGCTGCTATTTCTGTTTTGTCTTGCAGTATGACCTGTCGGCCTCAACCTTCTCTCCAGATGGTCGAGTGTTTCAGGTGGAGTATGCCATGAAGGCTGTAGAGAACAGCAGGTCAGTCTCTATGTTTTTAAACTAAAACCAGACCCCGCTGAATGTGATGTGGTGGGTAAATATGAAGAAACAATTGTTTTTCTACAGTGTTGATAACCAACTGACTTCTTAACCCAGAGTGCTAATGGTGCTAATAATTCTGATTAGTTTCCAGACATGTCATGATCAAATGTTCAAGTATGTCTCCATGTTGTGATGTTCAGCACAGCCATTGGAATCCGCTGTAAGGATGGGGTGGTGTTCGGGGTGGAGAAGCTAGTCCTGTCTAAACTGTACGAGGAGGGCTCCAACAAACGCATCTTTAACATCGACAGACACATTGGCATGGTAACCACACAAGCCGTCAAAAACATTTCAGGTCTATTCAGTGTGCTACATAAATGTGTGCATCGGTGCGCAAAGAAACCTGTCCTCATGCTCATCTTTGTTTTTCTTTTTTTGTTTTGGATAGTGTCAAAAGCGACATTGCCTCATAGACCAGACTAAAAAGACAACCTTTGACACAAAGTGATAAGCTTTCAGCTGTCTTGGCTAACTTGGTGTCTGCAGCACCAGCTTGATGGTTTTTGCTGTGTGAGCGAGCAGCAGCTATATTCTTGATATCAACCTTTGTTGTAGCGTTAATTATATCGCGGGACATGCGTTGCTATGACAACGACCATGCACATTAGGTGGTAATTGATTGTAATGGAAAACCCGTTGATCTGAATCGTGGCAAGCCATGGTGAGTTGATTTGAGTAGTTAGTAGTGGAAAAGGTGCTGTAGAGGGTAGGACCCAAAGTTCGCCCAAAGCGTCACACTGCCTCTGCCAGCTTCCCTTTTTCCCGTAGTGTATGCTGGTGCCAGGTGTTCCCAGGGAAACCATGCGCACTATCCCAGCCAGCCACGTGGTGTAAAAGAACCGTGGTCCGCTTCTGATGCTCACATGCCCATGGCCGGCACTTTGAGCAGGGGATGTGCTCAGCATGTATCAGAACCAGCATGAACTGTTTCTGCAGTTTGAGCTACAATAGCTCGCTCTATCACAACTGGTTGTGATAGATGGATAAATGGTGTAGCAGGAGCTCAGGAGGTGGAGCAGGTCATCTACTAATCTGAAGGTGGTTCGATCCCTAGCTGCTCCAGTCTGCGATCCAAATGATCTCTTGGATGTTGAAGATGCTGAACATACTGAAGCTTTCGATGAGACCGAAACGCTGTTTCTTCTGGCCCGCTCCATCCGCAGCTCACCGTCTCACTTAGAGATGTTTGTACCTGGAAATTGCAGGATATCACTTTCTGAAATGGTCACCACGTTCTGTTTGTGAAACATTTTATTTTGTGTGTTCACAGACTTATTGTGACATGAATATGTGTAAGTAAAGCTTCTCTCTCAACAGGCAGTAGCTGGCCTATTAGCTGATGCTCGCTCACTCGCTGAAGTTGCCAGAGAAGAAGCTTCTAACTTCAGATCAAACTATGGACACGACATTCCCCTGAAGGTAACGCATCAGCTTCCTGTTGTCTTTTGTTACCATTTTTTTCTCTATGATCGGGTATTTTAATTTTGTATTGTCATTATAATAATAGTAAAATAAAGTGTTATTCATGAAATTCCAGCTGTAAAATAAACAGTAATTATATGTTACTAATAAAACAGGATCTTTGGAATCGTAGCTTATTCAGTTTGAAAGTAAGAAAATGTAAAAGGTCACAACAGTGATGGATAAACATTTCAAATGTTACACAATAAGCCGTATTCATATTTGTCTAGTTATTTTGGTAAAGCCACAGGGAGCCACTGAAGATGGGCAAAGAGTCACATGTGGCTCTGCAGCCAAATGTCTGAAACTCCAGGTTGTACAAGAAAAAAGTTAAAAACTGCTCCTCTGCTGTATCATGTGACATGCAGCTATGTTACTAGCATGGATGCTTGGAGGAACAGTGTATTTTCCATGGATCGATGTGTTAAACGGCCGTGCCTGGAAGCTTAAAAAGTCTTTGTCAGTTCTTCTGTATTCTAATGTTCTTGTTCTGTATTATAGCAACCACCTGAGGAAACACAGAATCAAACTTATAAATGCTCCAGATTGTTGTCAAGGACATGGACTTTGCAGTTGGGCAAAAACTGTTTTGTCCCCTAATAGCTACTGATCAGCTGAGCTAGGAAATCAGTGTTGAGGCATCGAATCACAGCAAGTAATAAGCGCGCACATGAGAGAGCATAAATTAAAGTGAAACATATGTTCACACTTCACCAGGCAACACTTCCCTCCTATTGGCTAATAAGGTGAGCCACTTTGATTTGATTGGAGCCCCAGCTTCCTGTCCGTAGCTGACAGGAGTGGCATCTGGTGTGGGCTTGTGCTGCTTTAACTCATCTGCTGTAGTTGAATGTAGCTTGGTTGAAATGACCTTTTGGCATCAACGAGGTATTTTCAC